CTGCTGAGCATCTATATCCATCCAGTGAACGCATCACGAATGAATTGTCACTTCTCATAGAGAGGGCTCATTTGCCAAATTGATACATCATGGGCTCGACTACCATAGATTGCGTTGATAAGGGAGTGTTGTGCATACCTCGAAATAGATTACCACGGTGCTCGACGCTTGTTGAGGCTCTTAGTGGGTGGGAAAAATCCGAAGGTGATCAAAATAAGACCTAGTTCGAGGGTATGCAAACCCCAACCCAGTGACTTGCTCATATAGGTCGCGCTACCCTCCCTGGATGGGTACCTCAAGATCGTGGTAACCAGCAGTTGGAGACAATGAGTGATATGACCAAGGGTCGTAAACAATGGCGCTAACGCATCTTCTTAGTTTATTTACAACCTTAGTTTACCAGAATTATCCATTGTCGATATTGCTTAAAACTTTCCAATATTCTGTCTACCCTTTTATTCAAAAGGTCAACCAAAAGAGAGCAACCGGAACCGGCGCACTGGCCGAACGCTCTCTGCCTTTCTGACTTCCTTTCAACTAACAGCACATGTACCTTTAAACATAATCATCATATGGGTTCTAGTTTGAATGTTCACTTCACAATGCCTGGTTTACGGGGTTTGCTAGCCTCGACTTAACTAAAGGCTAGGGATCTTTATAAAAAAATTAAAAAGTATTGAAACAAAAAAGGTTACATCAAGTTTGACCATACCCCTGGGTCCAAGGTGATACTTCTTTCTGAGAACCAATACATCTATTCCAACAGGAATCATGGTGTTGAACAAAAAGGTATATAAAGCCGCCACGCATAGAATGTCTCGGTTTATTTCTTGTTAAATGATCGCGGTTGCTATAGACAGACCCAACTGTGTGAACCAACTACCGCCTAAGGGATCAACATTAGACACCATTCTGAATAGCGATTAATCCCAAAATATGATATCGCCCAAAGATGGACAGCGAACCGATCGAACAGTGGACCCTTATGACTATGAAGTTTAGTAACCCCAACTATGCCTGCTAATGATTTTGTGGTGGTACTTTGTCATCCCGCCTGTTGCATTGGCGAGTCTAGTTGACCCTGGATAGGACACCCAGCGAGGCCTACAGAACTAAGATTAAGTTCCATTTGCCACCTACTTTACAACCAATTTGCAATTGTTTTAGCAGCTGTCCGTTAAACGAGCGACAGTCTTTGTATACGACGAACTAAGAAGAGACTTCTGTGTAAATTACGTTAGGTTTCTTTGTTTGCTACGGTCAAGCTGAACAAGTTAGGCGATAGTTTAAGAAAATCAAATGCAGGAAGATTAGACTAGTAAAAAAATTCAACTTTATCAGTTACCTCCAAGGAGAAGTTCGTGTACACCAGCATAAAATCCTTTTTGAACGGCAACATGCAAAGGGCACAGTCCTGTTCGATCGGGAGAGTTTAGCTGAGCTCCGGCATCAATTAAAAGTTTCATTGCGCCCAGCCGTTCTGGAAAATACAAACAGGAATACATAAATATCAATATATTAGGTTACCATTTTGTGTAGCATACATCAGCGGCGAACCCCAATATGATGGTGGATCTACATTTACACCACAGTTCAGAAGAATAGAAACTATTTCCGTGGAACCGTTCAGTGCGGCATCACATAAAGGTGTATGACCGTCCACATTTCCAACATTTGCATGTAATCCAGATGCGATTAACAACTTCACAGCATCCACATTTCCAGCAATGCACGCATGATGTAACAGTGTGTTGTTGTCAGCATCACGAGCACAAACGGCATCTGATTGTTTGACTAAGCCATGTAATTCATCCAAATCACCAGTTTCAATTATTCGTATAAATTGTAAGATACCGGGACTACTTGGAAGGGCACACATGAGTGTTGGGTGGTCATTGAAAGTGAAGGCCCCAAACTGTGGAACAACCTTCACAATTCAGGTTCCCCTGCTCTGTAAAGAAAAGAGAATCGTATTGAACAAAAAGTGAAATGTATGCAAACTTCAAGGGGAAAGAAACTAGACTGAATATTAGTGGATATCAGTTGCAATTCGTTTCAAGATGGATACGGAAAGTCACGTGTTTTTCATCTAAAAATACTTTGCAAGAGCTTAAGTATCATCTTAAGTAAATTTGGCGTCTTTCTTAACCTTGTAGAAACTAGTTCGACAAATTAAACAAATTGCTGCGATCTTTTTCCGAAGAACAAATTAGAAAGGATGAAAACAGGGTATAAATGATCATCATTGAAATAAATTCCTTAAATAGGTGTAAATGCAGGATGCATCAGAAACCAGAATGAGGAAGGCCAAAACGTTAGACTACTAGACATACAGCGTACGTATGGAAGCTGAAAAAGGGAGAGATATGGGTCAGAAAAGCGATATACAAAATATTATGTCAATAGGGAA